TATCCTTCTGCAAATAATATAAAACCAAYAGTACAGAAAGCAAAATATGTATTTGTAGACCTAACACTAAAAGGTGATTTGTGATAATTTTCAACAAATAGTTTTAGGAGCCTTCAATCACCCCAACTTTTACTTTAAGGAAAGCTAAAATATCAGCACTGATGAGCACAACCAGTCTTGTTCACATAAACACATTCTGATTCCCTAGCTCCTGATAGGATCAAACTAGGTAGCCACTACAAAAAAACTAACACAACTAGCTATTTAAAGGACACATGATGTCCAAATTTTAGTTGCTGAACTGTTCTACAGAAAATTTTCCCTCCACCCTGTCTCATCCCAGGGGAAGGATCTATAAACTTCTATTTCAGTGTCTCATTACAGGGTTTCAAAGTTACTCACTTAAAATACACATATTCATATTTCCGTCAAGTCCATTTGTTCCTAACATTGTGCATTTTCAATTAGAATTGTCAGAAAGTGAAGCACCTTCTGGTCTTTTCACTAAAAATCAATTATGCAAAAAACAGTTTAGGTGGGCTAATTTAGCTGTGCCATATGTATAGTACAAGGTGTTTAACAGCTTTGATGAAGAACTGGCAATGATTTCTGCCAGCTGTTTGGGGTCTTAATGTTACATGGAAGATGAATATCTCATTCATCAAATTTCCATTAATTTGTATATATCACTATTTTCTCTAGTATAATTAACAACTTTTCTCCTGTGCCTTCCAGTTGGGCAAAATTCYTGCCACATCCCCTTCACAGAAGTCTCAATATTCTGCTAATTGTCACTCCAACTAAAGTCTCCTTACAAGGCAGTATTTTATATTGGCTAGCATATTTTCATCTTGGCATTTTCTCATAGAAAATGACTGAGGTGTGAAAGGCTTGACCTCTACTAGGGCACTACACTATCTTCAGAGAGCTGGCTTTTTTTGTTTTATTTTGTTTTGTTTTTAACTAATTTCTCCAAATCCACTGTGCTTTTCAACAGTGTAAATGGGTATGTTTCTAACTTTTACCATATCACAACTCAGGACATGTGTAAAACTGAAACATGTTTAATCTACACAAGTTGAGTGCTGCAAGATGCAATGAATTATAACTTTTTATTCCACTCAACTTCATTTTTTTTTAAATGCTGGTAAATACACCAAATTGACCTAATGACCCACTAGTAGGTCACAACTTAGTTTGGGGGACAGTGGTGGATATCAATGGTGTAAACACTTGTCAATCTGGGTCCATACCCTGATTTTCAGTCTGAACTCTTTCAGTAACCAGCTGGAAGAGCTCATGTAAATCGCATCAGCTACAGCTTCTGTCCCTCAACATTGAAATAAGGGAGCTGCAACAGGCCATAGTAAGGTCTACCATGTAGCTGATGGCTCACATTGCCACCTCCTAACAATCTGATTTCCTTTGCTTGTATCCAAATATTTCTCATCCTGTGACACTGAGGCAGACACACAGATCTTTAACATATCTTTCATAAAGATTAAAAACTCCATCCAGTCAAACCAGGTCCCATGTATGCATCAAGATTTTAGTCCTTTTAAAAAAGCTTCTTATTTGCTTCTGACTCTCAGAATTTCCCTTTATACATTCTAGCCAACCATCATCTAAAGAAAAGAACTGTTAAATTAGTAGTACAATAACTGAGAAATCAGTACCGGAAGACATGAACTTTTACTACAGGGTCATAGCAAGTGGACTTAGGAATTAAAGTTCTGGAACTCTTGTCTAGTTTTCTGTGACATTTAACTCAAGCAGCACTGTGCTAAGATAAGCAGGTTGTATTAAAGCAAAAGTAAACACTTCAAACTCAATTGAGATAAATATTTAAATATGAAAATTTTGTTACAAAGCTTATGAAATAGAACATACATTTCTCCTTAAACGTGTCTGTGTGTGTGTGTGTGTGTGTGTGTGTGTGTGTGTGTGTACAGTACTAAGAATTAAATCCAGGAGTACTCTACAACTGAGCTATATCCCCAGCCCTTTTTATTTTAAGATAAGGCCTTAATACGTTGCCACAGTAGCCTTCAACTTGCAATCCTCCTGCCTCAGCCTCTCAAGTCCATCCAAGTCACTGGGATTATGAGCATGTAGCATCCACCTTTAAACATTTTTTGGAAGATAACTACTTAAAGGTTAAGAAAAAAAAGTTAAGAGAAATAATTGGTTCTATTACTCACAATATTCCATGTACACATAATTCTAAAGCCAAATTTTGTCCAAGTAGTCAATAAAAGGATATCGTAAGGCTTTATTAGAAAAGACATACTTATTCAATGACAATACATTTGTAAACTCTTTCCTAAAGACATTTTAGCAGTAAGTACTATTCTAAACAAATTATCAAATACCAATGTTTAACTTCATTAAATGATTTCATAAAAAGGCATGAATACTAGATGATACAGCTAATARTAACTTGTTCCATAATACTATTACTTTAGCAATGATGTAATTGTTATGAGTTGGAGCTACTTTTACAAAAATGTATAGATGTTAAATGAAAGATAAGTGTAAAAAATCTGGTATGTATATATTTGTATACTGATTTGGATAATTATGTTTTTATCTTGAAGGATCTACAGAGTGTTAACAGGATTAATTCTGAGGCATGATAGTAGATTGGAGAAAAGAAAATGAACTTTTACTTGTGACTTGAAAATAGATTTCAAGTAACAGGGTACTATATATCCTCTCTGATTGTTTCTTAATATGCAGAGGATTTTTTTTAATTGCCATCTGCAAACATATCAGGGAATCCAATTGAAAAGCACTCTATTGTGAGACCACAGGATAAACTGAAATATGTACAAATTTGTAATAATAAAGGAACTTCACAGTGCTCTGCAAGAATTAACAGTGGCTTAAACCTTAAAAATTAAACCCCATTGATTACTTTTTCGTCAATACACCAAAATGTTGCAATGCAAAAATCACTTAATGTTTAAAATACTGTGATGAAACCTTAAATTTTTTAAGCCCATCCCAATACCTTAATTATCCCATCCTTTTTCTACCTGTGATCTATTCCTGTTTGTTTTGAGGAAGATAATCTATAAATAGTGTATCATGACTATAGAAACATTTGTAAAGCATCAAAGAATTTATTCACCTACTACTTGAAATTCATAGAACCTACTTTAATTTATATTTGTCTCAAACCATCTGAAGAATGAATGTTAACCCCACTAGTTTTTTAAAGTTATTTCAATGCTATCTGAGCAAAAAATAAAARCCTAGATATAATATTCTAAACTAAATATGTTACTAATCAAATTCTCTTACTAAATGTAAGTTTGGAAACATGATAATATTTTTAAAGTATGTGATTATTCTCCTATATCGCCACCAAAAATACAAACAGGCTTCTTTCACTCTCTATGTATACCATCATCAAAAAAGGCCAAGTAGGGACTAAATTATTCAAATAATTTAAAAGTGGGATAAGGGATTATAGTCATTATTGAAAACCTAAGAACCATCAAGAGACCATTTTCTAGTGCCAAAATCAGACAATTAGTATAAATAAAGTCTGGGCATTATAGCAACAAAAATAAAGTGCAGAGTCTAAAAAACGGCTTAAAAGTTCCAAGAAGTGTTGTTTAATTTTTACAACTTAAGCTATCTGCAGAGCTGCCAAAAAGTATTAAGGAGAATGATGAACACGCTGATTACAGCTCTAGATGTTTTAATCCTTGAATCAAACCCATTAGCTAATGTATTTTACAGTGCTTTGTTACATGAAAGTGTAAATGAAAAGGAACACTGGTTCCCAAGAGAAAATCACTAAGGTTCTCTATCTCTAGTTTTCTTTCTGTACAATTATGCAACAGGAACACAAAGTAAGGAAAATCCAGTTCGGAGAAATATGAATGGTGCCAGATAAAAAGACCACAATTCTTTTTCATGACACTGTTAAACAGAGGAGATCTCTATTAACTTCCTGGCATGAACCCAAGCTCCACCTTATCCCACTATATGTCTAGTGGCCAAGGAAAGCATACAGAACCAAGAAAAAGATGTGAAGTGATTGAATGACTCAATTTGTGAACGAGCATCAGGAAAAACACCTAATAATGGAATCTGATAACTTCCTCCTCCAAAAATTACTAGGTCACAGAAAATAAACACACTAACCAAATTTCAACTGAATAAATGTTGCCTGTCTCAAGTTTTCCAATAACCAACTATAAAAGTTTCCAAAAATAAGAAAASGAAGTTTCTCTAATAGCAATTTTCTTCTATTACAGTTTAATTCTTAAAGTTCCTTGGTTCCTAGGTAAAAAGTGTCTTCAACCTGTTCACTCTGTTCCCAAAAAAGCCTTCAYTGTTGACACTATTCCTGATGGAAAAGCCAGTGACATCAGCAGATTTAAAAAGCAAGTCAGTCTAAGAAAAAAAAAAATCATCATCAATGAAAATGCAGCGAAAGAGGGCACAGTCTGTACAACTTAACTGCAAGAAGGAATCTCTAGGAAGAGATCCATCACTAGGCGGCTTTGGATGCCACAAGGGACAGTAAGCAAATCCTGTCCAGCATTCTTTTGGAAGGAAATAAGAGTAACAGTCGCAGACACAAGCCAACCCCTACCCACTCCCACCTGTCTAGCAGCCATCCCCCACTATACACACACTAGAATGGAGCGGCAAGATGACAGGGATTTTGCTATTAACCCTAACGAGGAGCTTGGGACTCAATAATCAGCAAAAAAGCAGAACACAGGCAGATGGAGGAGACCAGTTCATCCCCCGATGGACCAGTCTGAGATATCAGAAAACAGGTTTCTGCCTTCGTGAAGAGCTTCCTAGCCCAGCTTGACACCTGCTAGGTCACTAGGCCCGCGGACTGCAGGGGAAGGAGGTGTTATTGGCATCCGCCAGGTTCCCCCCACCCCCTCCTCCTCGCATGCCCCCTTCCGCTCAGTTTCCGGGACCTCCGAGGCCCGGGTCTTGGGGAACAGAGCCGAGGTGGTCAGTACCAGGTGTAGTCGTCCTCGTCCCGCCAAGCTGCTATGCTCTCCAGGTCTAGCGGCTCCACCTCGTCTAGCAGGGTGGGGGGCGGCGAGGGCGGCACGGAGGCTTCCCCCGGAGGCGTCCCCGCGCCCCCTGGCTCTGAGCTGCCGCTGCCCGGGCCAAAGAAGCTCGCCGCCGGCTTGAAGTAGACGAAGGGCGCCTCCGAAGGCTGTGCCAGGCTGCAGAGCAGGGAGGGCGCAGGGCTGGGGAGGCAGTAGGTTCCCGGGAACGCAGGGCTGGAGCCGCCGCCAGTGCCGGCGCCCCCGGCGCCCAGCGCCAGCCCAAGCCCTAGACCCCCCGGGGCAGTGGTGGAGGTCGCAGCGGCCGGGGGGCTCCGTGGACCCAACGGGCTGCAGGCCCCGGCTGGGGGCGGCGCGGAGGGCGGCGGCGGCGGTAGCAGCAGCAGGTGCGGGGCGGCGGCCGCAGTGGCCGCCCGGCTACGCAGCTGCTCGTTCTGCTTCTCCAGTTTGCGCACCAGCTCCTGCAGCTTCTTCACCTCCAGCTCCGCGTTCACCACCGGCCCCGAGCCTGCTCCGGAGCCGCCCCCCGCCGAGGCGCATTTCACCTGCTCCGCCATCATCGTGGGCCCGGAGGGCGCCGCGGCCGCCGCGGGTGCGTGCCGCCGCGCCGACTCCGGAGGCTGCGAGGAGACTACGGTTCCTGTGCCGCTRCCCCAATCCGGGGAGCCGAGCACGCTGGGACGGAGAACCACCCGGCAGTTCGCATCAGCACCAGGGCCCCGACTCGGGCCGAGGCTGCCGCCGCCGAGCTATTCTGCACATGCTCAGTGCGTCCTTCCAGTCCCTTGGGCGCCRCGGCGGCTCCGGGTTTTAGCCGCGGCCCCGAGGCGGGGCGCGGGCGCCGGGGGGCGGGACCGGGGGTGGAGGAGCGGTCTGGGGCTGAGGCCCACGGGAGGTGGGCGGGACCTGCAGCGCTGACCCGAGCCCAAGGCCACTACTCCCACCCAAGCCACTTACTCCCAGGTGCCTGATTGGACTTGACCTGAACTTTCCCGCCACCGGCACTTCCTCCCTGCAGCCGAAAGCGCACTCTGCAGATCGCAGACCCAGGGGTGGGGTGCTAAAAAGCCGCAGCAGGTGCATACCTTAGAAAAATGTATCCCAGGCTGGGCTGCTGGTTTGTTCTCTTCCGAAAGCACTGTTAGGCTTAATAACAATATTTACTAGTTACGAACTGGTGAAACCTGTAGAAAATCGAAAGGCTGGGTAACATTGTCCCAGAACCAAAAACTAGACCCGTAGATGTAGCCTTTGGTGATGCAGAAACAAAATGGTGAGAAAAAAGAGGCCGAAGAGAAAAAGGAAGAAATCCCTGTCACTAAGAGAATGATGAGCTGCTACATACTAAAATCACGAGAGCTTATTCTAAAAAAGTCAAATTTGAATTATTCCCACCAATATTTGTCACCATAAAAAGATAGTTGGTTTTTCATACTCTGTCCATACATTTTTTAGACAAAATATCTTTGAACACTTTCTTTGAACCAGACATCGTTGTAAGAACTGGTCATACAAGCAGTGAACAAAACAGGCAGAAATTAATCGTTACCGGGAGAAATGAGCAACATTGTTTAACACTCCATCTGTTAAATAACGTACAAGCTATAAAAGTCAGACTTGCTGCGTCAAAAACAAAATCTCAGAACTTCATACTTTGTAATCTCACCTGCAAGCCTTCTCTTAACCTTTCAGAAATCATAGGCAAATCTCTTTTTATTTTTTTCCAACAAAAGGCAGTAGATTTGAATCAAGTTTAATTCAGTTAATGTTTTCTTAGCATTTTAAGTGACACAGAGAAAAGACTGATATTTTATTATAATGAGAAAAAGTTCACATTGCTGATTCTCATCCTCAGATGATATACACTATCTGGTGGATGTCCTTGCTCAGGGACTGAACATACCAATCTTTGTTACAGTGTACTGAATTCGCCTTGAACTGTTAACACATTGTATCTATTGGCTTTAGATTTGGCTCCCTGACTTCCTGCTCAGAAACATTTGTGTCTGTCTTCTTAGATGTCAACTTACACCTCTAGCTTCTTTGTCAGTGCAGGGTGGCTGTTCTGCATTTAACTTGGTTGGTGAGAGCTTTAATAAATTAGATTAACTTGTGTGGTAACTACCGCGGATCTTCCCTACCTGGGGTCCTAGCTTGCTAGTCTACCACCCAACCACCTGTATCTCCCATCACCTTTCCAAGTTTCCTTCTATCTTTTGGATATATTGGTTATTTCTAAAACCTGGAGAAGCGGAATGATACTACTGAAAGTCCTAAGTAAAGAATCTATTGAAGGTTTTTTCCGCATGCTCAGTGGCAGATGTGGGTAGCAGTATCCCTGCAACACAAAGAAAGAGAGACGATAGACACAATGAGAACAAAGAGCTGCTGGGTTCCACATTAGTGAAAGAAATTGGGAATAGGCACATAGTGAGGACAACAAGAATTAAGATGTAMAGAAAAGCAGTCATTTTTACTGCAAAATTTATGCACTCTAATGAAGGAAAGAAACAGCCCTCTCCTCCCCCATTTACCCAGTATGGTCTATAGAACACATCCAAGCAACCAGAAGTCAAGCTTTGGAACTGCGTTTTCTAATTAACAATTATTATGAATGTTTTCCTTATTTTAAAAGAAAGCACTCATTGAAATTTAAACATAGAAAAGAGGGGAAATATTCTGTTTACATTTCTATTCTGCATTATTCTTCTGAAAAGACAAACTTGCCCTATTCCTGCTTTGAAAGTGTGAAATAATTCATGTTGGCAGAAATTTTAAATCATTCCTTTCCATCAAAGCCCTCTTCCCCCACACCTGAAAAGGTGTATATATACACATACCAAAGACACTTAAAATGCACCCTGTTTTCAAGCTGGTATCTGCAGGATGCAGTCCCTCTAACACAAAATTTAAAAGGTTAATGGTATTAAGGTTTTAATTAAGCAGCTTTGATTTTTTTATTTTGATGCAAATTTTAAGCTGTGTACTTTGAAAGAATTGCATGCATATTTGCTCAATTTAAATGTTTTAATTTTATTTTAAATGAAGTAATAAGGTGATTTCAGAGATTTATAAAGAAGATATTAAAATGAATACATATGTCTCTTTAGAAACTGTATGCTTTAAGGATACAGTTGAAACACCATCAAGGCATGGGAAACACCCATATAAAATCTATAAAAAAAAAAAAAAGAAAAGAAAAACAGGGAAAGAAATGCATATTGTTCAAGTAGTCCCTATTCATTACACTTTAGAATTCACTAAGTTCACTGTAGGGAATTTTAAGAAATAAAAAAACTTAATTTGTATTTTTTACAAATTAAGTTTATTAATAGTATCTACACATTTTAGTTATCAATTTTATCATTGATCTAGCAACAGAATGGCAAAAGTAACATAGTTTCTTCTTAAATATATAGATATATTTCTCCCAGGAAATCTGAGAACAGTTCCTAGGTTTATAGATGAGCTGGATTAGTTGCCCAAGTTTAGTCATGAAAATGATAGCAGTTTCAGCAGTTTCTAATGGTTCCACCATGTTCTTCCTGACCCTTTGCCTTGAGTAAAATTTCTCTGAAGCAATCCCCACATATTTTAAATGTAGATTTTAAATCAGTGCAGCTGACAGTCACTACGATGAGCACCACATTAATTCAAGATCATAAAGCCAATTACCCCAAGGAATGAGAAATCATCAATGTATAAATCWAAAATCAAGGATCCCCAACTGTGTTTTCAAGTTAATTCAGACAACAGAGTTTGAGTGACTCTTACATCTCTTAGTAGAGATTCCTGTTTATCCATACAGTGTAGAGTTGAATCCTCTCAGTCCTGAGGTCCAAGTGGTCCCATAGTGCCCCACATGGTGTCCAGCACATAGCGAAGGAACACTGCAATATTTTATAAATTAATTTATTTATTTTAATTAGGTTTATCTGACTGCAGAATGCATTTTGATTCACTGTACACAATTGCAGCACAACTTTACATTTCTATGGTTGTACATGATGTAGAGTCACACCATATGTGCAGTCATACATGTACCTAGGGTAATGATGTCCATCTTATGCCACCATCTTTCCTGTCCCCATGAACCCTCCCCACCTTCCCTCCCCTCTGCCCAGTCCCATGTTCCTCCATTCTTCCCTTGCCCCACTCCCCCCATTATGGATCAGCATCCACTTATCAGAGAGAACATTTGGCCTTTGTTTTTTTGGGATTGGCTTACGTTTCTTAGCTTGATATTTTCCAACTTCATCCATTTACCAACAAATGCAATCATTTTATTCTCTTTTAATGCTGAGTAATATTCCATTGTGTATATGTTCCACAGTTTCTTTATCCATTCATGTATTGAAGGGCTTCTAGGTTTGTTCCACAGTTTAGCTATTGTGAATTGAGTTTCTATGAACATTGATGTGGCTGCATTACTGCTGAGGGCCATTGCCAATTAGGATTGACGCATCGAAATTTCCTTGCCAGCATACCCCATGTTGCTTAGAGGACATTCGCTGGGACATTGCATGTATGCTTTAGTAAGGTGACCTTGYTCAAGGACCAGGGCRGATCCGGGTTTAGAGCTGATCAGGTTTTAGGGAGTATCCCGTCCTTGGGTTTAGGGCGTTGCCGGTTTAAGACAAGTTTAAGGCGTTCTGGTTTAAGACAATATGGGTTTTAGGGAAGTTGGAGGTTGAAGATTATTGCTGCTGGGAATAGGGTGTTCCTTCTGCTTGAGTTCCCGTTGAGATTCAAAAAGATTTGGAAAAAAGCCTCCTGAAGTAGGTGAATTGGGCGTTGGCAGAACGGAGATTTCCCCTGAACGTGTGTGGAGGCCGGTGTGAGTTCGGGAATAAAGAATTGCTGTTTGAATCTACAAAGTTGTGAGTGCCTCCTGATTCTGTGCCCAGCCAAGACTGSGGCACATTACTATAGTATGCTGATTTTAAGTCCTTTGCGTATAGACCAAGGAGTGGGAGAGCTGGGTCAAATGGTGGTTTTATTACAAGTTTCCTAAGGAAGCTCCATATTGCTTTCTAGATTGGTTGTACCAATTTGCAGTCCCACCAGCAAGTATGAGTGAAATATTTTTAAAAGAAAAGAGGAATAAATACATATATCCCCAAGATGCAGTTGAAATTTAGACAAAAACCTAATTAGTTATTTCCATAAACTTCAGTAAGCATGTGGTAGCAATATGGAAATATTTGAAGGCTTTTTTCAGACCTCATGATAATTGACTATTTCAGATCTAATCCAAATAAAACTAGAAAAATATTTGCTATATCTGAMGTGTTGCATTTTAATGTAAGGGGATAATATAGAGAGAAAACAAGAATACGTGAAGCCAGAACTCATAGGACCAATTCCTGTGCTGGTTGTACCATTTTAACTTCACCCAACACTATTCCTTGTATTCAAGCTTCATAGAGTATAATTTTCAGGTAATTATACCCTATCAAGTTTCATACAGTAGTAGTTATAATAGCAATAGCAATAATAATAATAATAATAATAATAATAATAATAATAACAATTCTGTTTTTTGGCAAGCTATACCCAT